TTCAAGATGAATTAAATAGGTAATTTCAATTCTTATAAATATCTAGACTTAGAACTTTAGGAGAAAAAGGATAATTGAGTTTTAATGAATTATCTGGAGGTACAATATGTTTGAGTAATATTGGAACAATTGGAGGTACATATACTGGTCCTCTTATACTGGCACCATAGGTTTGTATAGTTGGAATTGGTAGATTGATGACTGTGCCAAGATATGATGCTAAAATGAACATAGTTCCAAGAAAAATTGTACTTTCCAATTTATTATAATATAGATGAACTTAAGTTTTGGTTGTGATCACAGAGTTATTGATGGAGCAACTGTAGCAAGATTTAATAATGTTTGGAAAACCTATTTAGAAAATCCAACATCTATGTTTATTCATCTTAAATGATTATTATATTAAGGGTATATAAATAAAATTATAATAATTAATTCTAAATATTATTTAGAATTATCAATTATTAAATTCTTAATTTATTCTACTTCCAAATTTTATCCACTTATTTTTATGGTAAGCTTATTGATACTAATTCTTTAATCTATAGCTTTATCTGGCCATAATGATAGTTTTTTTTGTTTATGTCGTAATACTTTTAGACATAGATCTAAATACTAGATTATTTTTATAGATTGTTAAGCCTCAAATTAAATATTACGATCCATAAACAACTTCTAATGAAAAAATCAAGAGGATACTAATAATATTATAATAGAGAACTTATTGATTTCATAGAAAATGAATTTTAGAATTATCAAAATATGGATTTAAATCAAATAAAACAATTTTATACTAGTAGGCTTGAGCTTTGTATTAAGATTAAAGTGGACTCAGCTACTGATGAAAAATAGAATTATTAAACTCTTTTCAAAATTTTCTCAATATTCTTAATACTTTATGAATATAATGCTTTAATTATTTTCAACATTAAACTATGGCAACATTAAACTTAAATGAAAATTCATTTGAATAATAGAATAAAGAAATGAAGATATTGAAAGTAGGTATAAGAAGATTCAAATTTCTTTGTTAACGAAATAAAGTGTCTTAAGAATAATAGATTAGAGAATATTAAAAAAGAATGATGTAACATAAAAAAACATCTAAAAATCATTTAAATGTATTAAAGTATTAAATGCCTTGTCATTTTGATGAATCCAAACAAATTTAAAAAGAAATTGAAAAGTAGAATTGTTTCATTTCAAATTTATTTAGAATAAGTTTACATTATCTCAAGGACAATAGTGATCTTGGAATTGAAGATATCAATTCTAAATTTATTGGTTTGAACCTAGATGAATAAAATAAAAAGGTATATAAAGTTTTAGGTTTTATAAACAAAAACAATACTTTGGATTTATAAAATTAAATTCAAGAGGAAAATTGAAAATAATATGGACATTTATATCTATTAAATGATGTACATTAACTTCAATTTTTTCATTTTTTAATTGATTTACTTACTTTTTTGTTGATTGTTTCTCTTTTTTTTATTTTTATACTGTCTCTTTATACCTTCTATTAAATGATAAAGAATTGATAATTTCTTTATTTTTAGATTCAGAATTTATATTTTTTGAGCAATCTTATAAGAAACTAAAATAGCATTTAGATTTTGAGTTTTTGCTGTATATAATTATTGATTATATATAATTATAATAAACAACTTTTAATTTTATGTTTAAAATTTGATTTCATTAATCTAAGTTGATTTTGATTATATACATATACATATACTAATTATTATTACTTTCAAATATAATGAATATGTAATTTTAGCATTAAAGCAATCAAATGAAAGATTATTCTATAATATTTCAAAAGATTTATCATTTATAATAAGGTTGAAATTATCATAAAAAATTTAAATACATAATATATTAATTTTTAATTAAATCCTTTTATATGTTGAATTGATCAATTTGTACTTCTAGATATTCTTTCTACTTTTACAAAACTGATTAACATAGTATTTCTATTATAAAAAAAATTATTTTGAGAATTTAGAAATGATTAATTATATATATTAATTAAATACCCCCTTATTTATGAAATATTTAAATCCACATTTTTTTATAAATTAATGGAAGGCGGAGCTTAACCAACTACAAATGAAGCAAAAGAAGGACATGAATTACATGTTCAAACCTTAGAAAATAAGATTAGAGAACTTCCTCTAAAGGATAGACTTAAAGCTATTGCCATCTAACATCATTATCTATAAAAGGAGAAATTAGACAAAGAATGTGATGAGAAGATTCATGCTCTTTAAAAGCAATATGATATCAAATCATTACCAATCTATGCAGAATAACAATCTCTCATAAATGGCTAAAGAGCTGTAAGTGCAGAGGAACAAGAACTATTCAAAGATTTCTTTTCTGAAGCTGAATTATAAGAAGCTCTATAAATTGCTTAAAAAACTGAACCAATTGATAATTATTGGGGTACTGTTTTAACAAATTGCGATAATTTATCTCACGTCTTTGGAGAAAAGGATAAAGATATCCTTAAATTCTTAACATCAATTGTTTTAGAAACATCAGCTGATACTGAAGTGTTCACTCTTAGATTTACATTTAAGGACAATGAATATTTTAAAAACAAAGAATTGTCAAAAAAATTTATAATTGAAGAAGGCAAAGATTTCCCAACAAGTACAGTTGGAACTGTGATAGAATGGAATGAAGGCAAAGATGTTACAGTTAAGATAGTAGAGAAAGTAAATAATTTATTAATATTTAAGAAATAAAAAAATAAGAAGACAGGAGCATCCAGAGTAATAAAAAAGAAGGAAACACAATAAAGTTTCTTTAATTTCTTCAAGAATTCAGAAGATAAGGATGAAGGAGAAGAAGAAGGAAAAGCTGGAGTATTAAATATTTATAATAATTTATAGAATATTGATGAAGATTATGAAATTGGAAAGACTATAGCTGAAGAAGTTATTCCTTATAGTTTGGAATATTTCTTAGGAATTAATCCAGATGATGAAGATTATGAAGATGTTGATGAAGATGAAGATGATGAGGATGATGAAGATGAAGAAGATGATGATGATGAAGGTGATGATAAAAAGAAAAAGAGTGTAAGTTTTATAATATAAATTTTATTAGTAAAGAAAGAAGAGTGGTGACAGTAAAAAGTCTGATAAAGATAAAAAAGGAAAAGCTGAAAAACCAGAATGCAAATAATAATGAGAGTATTGGTTTGTGTACAAAAATTATAATCTATATTTTAATTTCATATTTCTTAATTAGAAGAGTATTCTACATTTTCATTTAATTTTAATTCAAATATTATAAATTTCTAATTATCTAATTATTTAATTAAAAAAAATTAATAATTTTTGTTACATTATATGAATATAATTGAAATTCAAATATATTCGATTTCCAATAATTATTTTTCTTTTATTAAAATAAATCCACCTTCTTATGTAATAATAACATTCTTATAACCATTTTTAACAAGTAGACTCATTGCCATTTTTGCTCTACCTCCTGATTTACAATAAACATGCACAAATTTATCTTTTGGAATTTTCTCAAGATTAGCTTCAATCTCAGGCAATGGAACTCTAATAGCTCCTTTTATAAATCCAATTTCTTTATGTTCTCCTGTTCCTCTAACATCTAAAAAAACATGTTTTTCTAATTATATATAAAATTTATAATACCAGGATCTGCCTTGACATCACAAAACTCAGCTAAACTGACTAATTTAACTGTTGTTGCTAATGGTCCTCCATTGTTTTTATAAACTTCAAATCCTCCTTACAAATATCCTAAAATATTATCATATCCAATTCTTAATAATCTTAGGATTGAATCTTAAACTTAACCATTGTTAGCAATAATCACTAATTTTGTATCTGGCTTAATAATAGCCCCAACAAAATTGACTAATCCTGACATAAATGAAATATTGACAGCACCATCTATGATTCCTTCTGCTATATTAGGTCTAGTATCCAAAATGGTTACTCCTGATTTTACAAAGCCCATAAATTATTCAAATGTCAATGCTTTTTAGACTTCATTTACCAATAAAGTTATATCTGCTGGTCCACATTTATTCTATATTTAATGAGATATATAAAATTACAAGTTTGGCATCGTGAAAAAAGTATTAAGGAGGTTTGGGCATTCCTTCAAGTACTTTTTTAGTGAATTCTTCTTTTGACATTTCTTATAATGCATAATTCTTCTATTTTTGAACTCCAATAGAGCAAAACTTTCCTGCTCCAATAGCTTTACCACAGGACGAGCCAGCACCATGTCCAGGATAAACAATTACATTATCATTTAGTTTCATAATCTTATTTCTCAAAGAATCATAGAGATATGAAGCCAACATCTCAACTGTAAGTTCTCCACTCTTTACAGCCAAATCAGGTCTACCCACTTCACCCAAAAATAAGGTATCTCCTGTATAGACTGAATGATCCTTTCCTTAGCTAACTAAAACAAAACAACTGGATTCCATTGTGTGTCCTGGAGTATGTTCTACTCTTATTTAGACAGATCCTAGTGGCAACAATTCTCCATCCTAAGCTTATTTAATTGGAAAGTTTGCAATTGCAGTAGGACCATACACTATGGTTGCTCCAGTGATTGCAGCTAATTCTCTATGACCACTAACAAAATCTGCATGGAAATGTGTTTCAAGTACCCATTTAATATTTGCTTTTCTTTCTTTAGCTAATTCACTTCCAATTAGTATATATGTATTACACATATTATTCAATATCTCTTAATGGATCAATAACAGCAGCCTCACCTTTTGATTCAATATAATAAGAAAATGTGGATAAACATTCAATATAGTATTATTGTATGAAGAAATCTTAGTTTTCAACTTTCTCTCCTAGTTGATTCTCACAGATGTTTGGAACTGCTATCATTAAAATTATATATTTATTGAATATTTTAAGATTTAGCTATCAATTTTGATTACAAAAATAATATATTATTAGAGATATTAATAAATAATAATTATGTTTTTAAAGAAGAACCTGTATTTATTTTCACATGCCTTTTATGATATGCATGAATTCCAGCAAGCCTAAACTTTAATGAATAACAATGCATTTTCATAAGCACATGACTTATTTTTAAGATTAATTCAGATTCTCAAACCTCATGGTCGTTTACCTAATGATTTATTGTCTATGTAATATTATAATTCATCAAATAGATCATATCAAAACTCTGTTAAAGTTGGACCAAAATAGTAAAATGATATTTTACAATACAAATTAGACACTCTTGGAAATGTATTATAATATATGCAAAACAATCTTTATTATAATACAAATAATAATATGGATCTACTTGTTTAACATGAACCATAATTTATTGGAAATGTATTACATTATGAATTCAAAAGAGTTGAAGCTGTATTATATTTATAAATATAATTAAGTATAACTATGCTTTATTGAGTTCACCTGAAACAGAAGAGAAATTAATATCATTGATTGAATATTCTGAAGCCAGATTTTAAAAAGGTAAGTTTACAAATATTCAGAATAATCACTCCTCGATTATGCCATTTTGAAATGGTTGGCATCCGGACATGGTTACAATCCAGTTTCATTCAATGCTAATTTTGGAATACAATAAGGATAGGTATTATTGGATCATTTTTTGAATGCTGAAGCTAAGGTAGATAAAATGACATCAATTGATTTCTCATTAAAATTATATAAGGCATTAAGTGATTTTATTATTTCTGCCAATGTATAGACATATAATAAAGTATTAGATATTTAATATTTTAGACTATTGTTGGATAAGTATTAAATAGATATTTGAAATTTACAGAAAAGAAAGCAAAAAATTAAGTTCATAAATCATTAATGGGTTTAGGATGGTTGAATACAGTTGAATAAAGATATATGTCTGCAGAAGGATTATTCAGAACAATTGATGATTAACTAAAGACACATAACTTAACACCTGAAATATAAGTACTTACAGCTTAATTCTGGTATTTGAATATTTAATTGCTCTAAAAATTGACAAAGAGACAAACTGAAGTTCAAAGTAAATATATTAATTTATATATATATAGATTATCAACAACAACTTAAGTAATTCAAAATGTCTCCAGTATAATAGAAAGCAGTATTATATTGTCATCTACCAAATCACCAAGTTTAATTTTTGAGTTGATTATATTTTTGTAACATAAATTTATTTAATCAATGTTTGGCCTTTCCAAATCCAACCATATTTGTATCCCTATCATAAATACTTAAGTATTTTGTTAAAAATATATCTCCTAAAATCCAAGCTGGTCCTTATGGATCTGGAATATCTAAAGGCATAAATGCTCCTATGCATCTATCAGAATTTCCTTAAATGAATGCTGATGCTGAAACATCAGTATTTATTGGTATTTCTGTACCATCATCTCTTAATTCCATAATATAATCTTTAGAATCTAGATCATAATCAACTCCATCAATTCTAAATGTCAATTTAGGCAACTCATTCAAATTTGAACAATCATCATTTATATTAGTTAAATCTAATATCAATCTATAAAAATACCAAGTAATTTCATCAAATCTTCAAAAGGACCTGTGATTAATGAAGTACCTGTATCAGCTATTATTTTACAACCCTTAGGACAGAACCCTTAATCTTTGCCGTTAATCAATATATTATCAGCTTATATCATCCAATAATATTAATCAATAACTGGATGATAATGAACTTAACCATCAAGTTTAGTAACATCATAACCACCAAAAGTAATTTAAGATTCATAACTATTGACTTAGTTACTCATATAAAATGAGAATTGATTTGATTTCAATTTCTTCTCTTTGATAATATTGTCAAATAATGGATTAAAGTTATAGGCTGCCATACTTGGATAACCTAATCCTACTATACCATCAAAACCTGTCTTTAAATTTATATAATTTTCATACATTTTAAAAAACTGAACCATTTTCTTCAATTATTTCAGCAATATTTTAGTCTTCAATCTCTATTTCACCTAATCTAACAATATCTGAATTTATTTCCCCATTCAAATCTCCAGTACCAAATTCTACATTTAATGCATATCCCAAATGCTTAGATTTCAAACTTGGTTTATATTGAGTATGTTATTTGCATCCTTCATTCTTACATTTAACAGAATCAATCCAAAAGTTTGCAGAACCAGTGTCAAAGATCACTTAGAATTCCTAATCTCCTACAGTTATTGGTCCAGTGAATTACGTATTCCTGAAATTGTGTAGTTTCAAAGAAGTTTTCTTTGTTTACTCGTTTTACTGTAGTTTAGGAACATATCCTCCAAATTCTATTTCCTATATGTCAATTGGAGTATGTTATAACGAAAATATGTTTGTTTAGTTGATAGAAAATCATACATTTCTTTAGCTGTCACCTATGATTTTTTTTGGATTACTTACAATTTTTTGAGTCTCCTTTAATTTTATGGTGAATATTTAATTTTCTTGTTTCTCTGAAAGAAAATTACCTTACTGCTAGCCACAGAGAGTTATGACAACCAATAAGGAAAATAAAAATTAATTCATTATAAAAAAAACGATAATAAATATTAATATGTAACTACTATGCGATTCAATTTCAGATGACAAAGTTGTAAAATTTATTCCTTTACTTCCTCATCTTCATATATAATATGAATTCATGTTCCCTGTAAAAATTAAGGTATAATTACATTATTATTAATGGCATATATGACTGGAAACTTATAAAAAGCATTTGGATAAAGAAAGATAGAAATGTAAAAAAATTGAATTTATCAAATTAATAAGATTGCTCAATAACTTTTTAGTAAATATTCTTATACATAATCAAGGGAATGAAAGTAGTTTATTATATGTTTAAGATGCTAGTTGATGATATTCATATGTATAGATTTATGAATTGATTAAATTTAGTACTTGTATATATTTAGAAGGTAATCCAGAAATAAATACAAGTTTTTTAATTTAATACTTTTTATAATCTTCTTTAAGCTTGTATGATAGATCTATAACTTTATACTGGGCTGAATTAAGAAATTTAATAATCTTTATTTATAATAGGTCAGTACTTTGAAGTTAATTGAAAGACTCCGTTAACCAAAAATAATGGAATCTTTTGATATAAACTTTGGGATTATCATATAGATGATGATGACTATTATGTGGATTTAAATTAAATTTAATTAGAGATTGTTTTACTTCAATCTTTCTGAAGTTGTAATAAAAATACTTAGAAAGAAATAAATTTAAAAGCATAAGAAAGATATAAAATACATAGATGGAATAGAGGTTATCCTATGATATTTAATAGTCTTTATGATTGTCAAATTTAATGGATAATTTTTAATTTACTTATCCTTTTATTGTTTATAAAGGTTGTTTTTGAATTGTTTTATAACTTAATTTACTGAACTATTATTAAGGATGATATCTATATATATATAATTATATTAAAAATAGCAATAGAAGAATAAATAAAAAGAAACTTAATTAATGATATTAAAAACTCTTTTTGTTTTTATTATTTACAATATAATAAAAATACATTGAATTATATTATTAATATTGTGAATATAAAACACAATGATGCTTCAAGTTAAAACTCCTTATGTTTTGGATGATGCAACAGGTTGTTATTGTTATTATTGATTTTATTATGGTCTCAAATTGTTAGCTAATTCAAAATCAAGTAATTCTTTTTCTCTAAAATAATCTCAAATATAATCTGCATACTTTTGTTTCATAGCAGTGTTGTAATTTTATCCTGTCTTTTCAAGTAATTCTAAACTTTCCTTTAAAGATTTCAAAACATCTTCCAATTATCTTTCAACAAGAACTCCACCAATCAATCTCCAACATCTATAATAGATAAAATAATTCACCTTCTCTTTGGATCAATATTTTTGACTGCATCCAAAACTAATGTATGTTCCTTTCTTTCATCTTCAATATCAAGATAGACTCTGAATATTTCAGCATAATCTTGTCTCATTTTGTTGTATTACACAACTTATTAATTAGTTAAATTCTTCAACATCTCTTACTATTATTGCTATTGCATTAAATCAATAATTAAAATTTTTAATGACTTACATAATAATATTGTATTATAATATTGATAACAATAAAATAATAATGAAAATATATGCATTGAATATATGATTTAATGTCATCTTAATCTGAAGAATTTCCAAATAGTACCTTCTTCGAATTCAGATGTGAAATCGTATTTGGTTAATCTTTGTTCTTTTCTTCTCCATTGTAATCCATTATCCACAAATCCCTAAATCATTAATAGGAATGTACAGTAAGTCTATTGTTACTATTCATGCAAGCAAATAATGCTCCTGCCATCATAATTGAATTCCAAGCAATTGAAAATCCTCTCTATCTAATATATTCAGTAGTTGTTAATCCTAAAGTAGCTTTTCTGGCAGCAAAGAATCCTAAAAATGCCACTGTTGCAAATAGACCAAAATCTGCTTTGTTCAAATTTCTCAATACCTTTTCCAATATATGATATAAATTTACATCTCCAACTGTAGGCTTACTAATAATTACTGGATAAGGTGGTCTTTCACCAACATTATAGAGTATCTGTAATCTTCTAATCTTGAATAAATTCAACCATCCCAAAAATGAATCGTGTTCAAATGTTCCCCTATATGTTGACATAAATTAAAATATTTATTATATTAATCATTCATCATCTTTAAACTTTTCTCTAATCATTTCCACCTACAAAATAGTTTTATCATCATTTTTCAATTAATCTTTTAAGAATCTACAAGTAGCTATCCAATGAATCTATATAAAATATAATAAAATACTGTTGACAATGCTCCTCTAATAGCTCCTGCAATCATATTTGAATAATTGAGTCCTTATAAATGTTCTGGCAATTCAACAAAATCATTTAAAGGATTCTCAATGAAATGTAAATTAAAAGTGAATATCTTATCAGTCTCAGGTAATATTTCCACTTCAGCTGTCACTCCAAGAAACATTTACATGGCTCCCTATCTTAAAAATAGTTACAAACCTTTCCAATATTTTCTGCAACATCAATCTTGTCTCTACATTACTTTATTTCTGCTTTTGAAAGATATTCATCAATGATTCTTTGTCCAATATTATAACCCATTTTCTCCAATTACTCATTTGCTTCAATTACAGTATCACTATCTTTAATTATTTAGGAAACTATGGCACCATAAGTTAAAGTCAACAATTCTGAATTCACTTTCTCAATCCTATTTACTACTACTTTATTTGATTTTCTGATCTGCATATATTTAAATAATATATAAAATAATATTAAGCTTTCAAGCATCCTTTATGTATAAATATTCATATTTCATTTATATTCTTTATCTAAAGCTATTTACAATTAACTACCCATAAATATTATAGAATTCTTAATTATAAGTTTTTATATAAAGGAAATAGAAATTTTTAAATAAGTATGAAATGGTTATTTCAAACTTGTTTCAAATTTATATCTAACAATATATTCTCAATTAACTAACAATATACTAATATATTAAATATAGATATTTAATAGTTTTTATATTTAAACATAAAGTTTTAGATATAAAAATATTTTAAATACAATGAATTTATTCACTTTTTCACCAATCATCTTCTTCATCTTTCTCATCTATCTTTTACTAGATTTATTATTATTATTATATTTATTGCTTCTATTTATTTTATTTATTTGTATCCTATTTGATTGTTACTAATTTGATATTTGGATCTACTTTTAGGTTTGGACTAATAAATTCTTATTCATCTGAATGAGCATATACTGTTTCTTCAATTAGTATCTAACCACCAACTTAACAACTTGATGGACAACTATAAATATATAATGCTCCCCATTCTAAATTGTATAATTCAGGAAAATAAGTAAGTATAGAATTATTAATTTAGAATTCGAATATCTTATTCTTTTTGCAATAAGAACATTTGGATTCTATTTATGGTTATTTTTTATCACTAAACCAGAGTGGTTTACTTTAAGAATCAAAACAATATCTAACAACATGATTCTAATATTAAGTCAGAAAACTAATTATTTATATATAAATACTGTTAATAAATCAGAAAAAAACCATCAATATTATTTTATTAATCTTTTTCTAATCCTTCTAGATCATCAATATCCTCTTTCTCTTCTGTACTCTTTAAATAATTCTCATAGATTTTATTTTCATTATCAAATTTCACATTCTTCAAATCTACCTCTTTGTCTTCATCATCAAAATTAGTAGGTAATAATTCTTCTGCCACTTAATATTCATTAGTATTCTCCTTAGCACTTATAATTTCTGTATCAATTATAAATGATTTATTTTATGGAGAAAGAATATAGTCTTTATTTTTTGATTAAAATATTTAAGGTTTTTATTATGATTGCATTCTAAAAACTCTAATACTGCTATTATGTTTAGAACATTATTCATTTATGCAAATAAAAACATAGATCTCTCTATATAAGGCATGCTTGTTATTCAAAGGAGCATATATCTTAAGAGTAAGATTAGATAAATACTTAAAGCAACATTTTCATTTGATTTCCACATTAAGAACATTTTATTGATTCAAATTTATCTTCATTCTCTAAGAAATACTAAATTATAATTAATATTTGTTACAGGTAATCCATTTGCATAGGAAGGTAATTCATCATCTGTATTTAGAATATCATCTACTTATTCTAAATATCCAAGCACTATTTCTTCCTTATTATTCATTAATTAAAGAATTAATATTAATACATTTAGTATTGCTTTAAATTAATAATAATCTATAGATCATATAATCAAAAATTAATTACTTATTTTATAAATAAATTTTTATATAATTATACACAAATTATATATTACAAAACAAAAAAAATTAACAATAAATTAGATGTTTGATAATTTCATTAAAATTGAATGATTAATAAGAATAAACAACGTAAATTATTTTTAATAATTATTTCATTTTGTTAAAGGTATTTAGTATTAAATATAAAATATGAAATTGTATATGATTAGATTAATTATGATATATTTATATAATTCTTTGAAATAATATCAAGCATCATATTCTTAAATACAATCTTAGATTTCAGCTCTACATATTGGACAATTTTTTTATTTAAAAGCTTTTGAACATTTTTTACAACAAACTTTATGTCCACATCTATAAAAAACGATATTCCTTTTTTCATTTAAACATATAGCACACATCTCATCTGCTAGATAAGATTCTTTATAATTTTTCTCAGGTACCTTTTAAACAATGAGGATTTACTAGATTAATTCATTAATACATTATATTTTCTTTTAAATTACAAATCATCATATTTTGAAAAGGTATAGCATAATTTTAAACTCATCAATCCACTTGAAAGATCTATTAGAAAAGGCAAAGTTATAACTAAAAATACAAATGCTTATGGAGGTGCTTCAGTTTCCTATAATAATTATATTTAGTACATAAGAGTCAGAAAATAAATCTGCAATTATTTCATATATTAAAACCATTCCAAAAAGTGAACTTGTACAAACTGCATAAACAATAATTTTCTTTTGATTGATCTCTTCAATTCCATAATATCCTAAAATAGATAACAAAATAGACAAGACATTAATCAATAATGTGAAGAAAATCTTAAATGAATCAATATTTAAATAAGAATTACCTTTCTAGCCATATAACCCAAGAATCCAAAAAAAGACATTATTATATGTGCATAATTGAAGTATTTACAGTATTATAGTTCCTTTTTAATTTCATCAAAAACATCTTCTTACATTTTGTTTAAATGATTGTTATAAAAAAAATAGAAATAAATTAGTTAATATAAAAACTGAAATAAAATAAAAAATAATCAATTTTAATAATCTAGAATTCAATAAATAAATGAATAAAAAAAATTAATTAATTATCAATAAATTGTTTTACAATTATATCCTTATCTTTTTTTATATTCTTAAAGTAATTTTTTAGTTAAAGTATCATTTAGAGAATGTTTCTATTGATATTATTGTAATAATTTTTTAATTTATTATTATTTATCTGGATAATCTCCACTTTATTTCTAATAATTACCCATATCCATACTTAGATCCTTTTAAAACTAAAATAAAAAATAATTAAATTACAGAATTATGTGATTCTTCAATTTATTCAGCACATGAAAAAGGTCTAGGAATCTGACTTATTTCAGGAGGTTGTTTACGAAAACTATGAACAGAATTATTTGATCTATTAGGTTCAACATGTTAATGTTGTGAATTTGAAGGTTTTTTCATAATTTTGTTTTAATTATTTTAATTTTTATCTTAGCATGCTTTTACTGATTATTATCTTTTAAGTTCTTAATCTTCTGTTATTAGAATATTTGATACTTATTAGATTTAGAACATTTTAAGCAGTTTTATTTCTTTAATGTTTTGTAACATTTGAAGTTTCATATTGAGATAAATTATTTTTTCTCTTTCTATCTTAATATTCATATGATTCAGTTTATGTTCTGGTAGCTAAATAATTAGATTTATTATTTTAAGTATTTGCTATATGAGTAGAAATAATTCTTTTATGTGAATCATTTCTAGGTTTAAAATAATCATCTTATGGATCAGTTTGTATTCTATCTTACTATTAAATTAATTAAAAAAATAATACATAATCTTAAAGAGGTGGTTTTTATTTATCTATTTATAAATTGATTGTAATAGATTATTATTTTGGATGTTCATTTTCAATATTCTCTTTTTTAGATTAATTTTTTTGATTATTTTAATTAATTTTAAGAGATTAATTTGTAGTTTCATTATTACTATTATTTTTAATAATTTATATTTCTTTTTCTTATGTTCTTAATTTTTAATTTAATGTATTGTTTTTATCATATAAAACTTAGAAATCACTTTTAACTCCTTATAATTCTTCTTCTAATTCTTCTTTTATTTTTAAAGCATCTTCTAATTTTGATTAAGTATTTTCTGCAAATAATTTCAATTATTATTCAATCTAATTTTATTTATTTAATTACTCTTATATGTTATCTAATTTCTGCTTCCAATTTAATTAATTATTCTTCATAATCACTTTAATCTCTAGTTTTTTGTTCTTCTACTTATTATTCTAAATTTAACTAATAATATTTAAAAAATACTTTATCTTGCATTAAAACTGTGAATATACATCCAATATAACAAATCAAACTATTTGGATCTGTATAAAGATCTTCTGACTTATCTAAAGGTACTAATTTTCTTATTTAACATAATAATAACTAATTGGAAATTTTATATATACATGATCTTCTGTTTTAAGTATATTGCTTTTAATTTGAGAATAAAGATCAAGTATGGATTTTTGTAATTTGAGATCAAACTTCTTTTCTGTATGTTCTGAACTATGTCTATAATTAGATTCTAAAGATGTATTAATATCATCATGAAAATGTTATTGTTGTTGAAGTAGTTGTAGTAATGTTTTTGATTTTTAAGACATTTTTTAAATAAATAACTGATTGAATAGAAAATTTAAAATATATATATTTCTTTATATATATATATATATAATTAAAAAAGAGAAGTATAAAAAAACAAATTCAAAAGATGCAACTCTATGTCATATCTACAGATTTCTGTATTTACAAATCTGTTTTTAAATCTGGGATAAATTCACTTTGTATAGTTGTTAAATCATCTAAACTGAAATTCTGAATCTATTTAGAGTCAATTTGTAAAGTATGCTATAGGATTAAATGAAATAATACCACTTATGAAGTTGTATTTAATGGATTCAAGTTTTGATATTCAACGAATTAGGGTGTTCCTAAAATATAAATAACAATCTATTACTGAATTCCATTAAGCCATAAGATGATTTGTGTTAAGGTTTGAGTGGTATTTATTGATCGATTAAGATTTTCAATTAAAATTATTTCAAATGTCGTTGATGTTGATTTTCAATCAATTTTGATCTCCATATTGGCATAGTTTGTTTCTCTTTCTTCTTTTCATCAACATTTAATTGTTAATGTATCAAGTAAAAACAACCTAACATATAGGTTTAGAGTAGAAATGACTTTTTTGGGAATACTCTCCTTAAATCTTCTAATACATGAGACATTATGAATTATTAATATTATTTATTATATAAATTTTAATTTAAGATATGAAAGACATTTATAATAATACTAAATGTCAATGGTGCATATTATTAAAATTATAAATTTATATGCTTCCTATTTCAAAACATTAAATATAATGTTGATTTCATTGAACATTTATCTTCATCTCCTTATTCATGTTTACATTAATGTAAATGTCTTATAAAAGCAATCATATTTTAATTTACAAAAAGTCTTGTGCTCTAATAATATTATCTACATTATAAACATGGAAAATCTTCATAACTTTAATAATTCCATTAAAATTAATCTGATATAGATTTTAAACATGTTTAATTCAAGACATATAAAATCTATTAAGAATTATCAATTGCAATTTCATTAACAAAACTTTCACTACAAATAAATGATCTAATTAATTCAAAAGTTATGCAATCATATATATATAACTTATTTTTTATGTCAACTACAAATAATTAATCATTTGATTAAGCCATTTTCTAAACTGATTAAATTTTTATTCTTTTTTCTTAATATAAATCATTTTTATTATAATTCCAAAATATTATACCACCTTATTCTAAATCACATTTAGAAGCTGAAATAATAAATTTAGATGATTTAACAAGTGCAAATAAAATAGTAGATGATGTATCAACTATATAAAGTGGATTCTATATATTTAAATCATATCCAAATATTTATCCATCCCAATCTCCTATTAATAATAAATTATCAAAACTTAATAAAGAAACAACCCTACTCATTCTTTAATGTTAAACTTTTCTTATTTATTAAATACTTGATTAAAAACATTACCAAATTAATGTAAAATCATCACCTCCCAAAGCTAATATGATTTATTTATTAAAATCTAATTTTTATGATTTATTTATTAGACTTTATTATGCCAATTCTGTTATTTGACAATTTATTTCAATAATACAATTTATTTATGTTTCACATTAAATGACTACAACTTCATTATAACATTTATCTCTTATTTTTATTGTCATATCATTTAATGCATAAATTAAATTATTTTATAAAATTAAAAAACTAGTAATACATTAATCTTCTTCAATTAATTTTTATTCTTTTTTTATTGATTTTATTTAAACACTTTTTTAATCAAAATCTGTAATTGGAAATGATTTAATATATGTTTTAATATTTGATTCAATATTTGATAAATATTAATCAAAATAATTAATTAATCTATTTTATTCATTTTTTTAAAATTCTAAATTTTTAAATGTTGGTGGAAATACAGTTTAACTTTACAAAAGAATCAATTATTCTTATAATTATTTTATTTTACCACTACTAAAAAATGTAGTATAATTTAACAAATGTGATTTAAATTTTCTCATTATATTTATTGGATCATTATGATTAGGTAATTTTACACCTAATATACAATTTAGTATTGATAAATCTGAAGATTTCTAAAGTGATTAAAATTTCTCAGTTTCTTTTAATTATTGTTTGAATTATTAAATATTTTTATTGTAAATAATAACTTATTCTTCTAAAGTTTCTAAAAGTTTGCTTTCTAAATTATCACATTTTTGCATTATTTTCTTTTTAATTTCTTACATTTCTTCAGAAACCCTCTACTTTTAAATCTTAATAAATGATGCAAATGAATCAGTATCAAGTTATTTAAATTAAATCTACATTTTATCAAATTAACTTAAATTAACATTTAATTTCTTAGCAAATTCTTCAATCCCATTTTATATTTCATAACTATGACATAAATGATTTTAAAGACAATCTACACACAAATATGGTTAAAGATCACATTTTTCATCAATGCAAATTTTACTTAAAGGTTTTGTATGTTCTGGACATTTTAATGGTTCTGGAGATTTCATTAATTATATATTTATATATATATATATTTTTAATTTATATTTAATAAATTATATTATACAAGAATGACTGACAGATATAGATATTTAATCAAAATCTGCTAATATTTCTCTATTTAATATAACCATCAATATAATGTTAATCAATTAATTGATTCAACTTCTAATTATTTTGATGGCATACTATTACAAATTCTGTAATAATTATATAAGTTTATTATTAAATATGGAATTGTTAAAAAACGAGCAGCAATACATGTAATATATGAGTACTTGATTGCTTTGTGAATTTTAAATTTTATTTATGCTGAATACTTGAGAAATGCAAACATTTATATGTTTGTTTTCTACGCATAAATTCAGCTTTTTAATAATTTATTCCAGAATTTAATTACATTTGGTTATCATTTAAAACATAACTTATGTCGAATGATTCTGGGATTCTTTTATGATATCATTTAGATATTAAAGTATATTAAAGACTTTAAGTTAATACAAATGAACATCACTAATCTTAATTTTATTAAATTTATGTAAAAGAGTGTTGCGATTATTGAAAACATAAAAAGTCTTCTTTTCTCTTTTGTTTACTTTAAGCTAACGTGCTTTAAATTATACATTAAGTCAAAATTTAAAGAGTTTGTTAGCTCTAAATAATAATGATAATATTTATTTAAGAGTCGTCAACAAATGCCCAATTATAATGAACATCAGCTAATTTTACTCTTAAATTTCCTCTAAGGCACATACTATTGTATGACGATATTCAACCATCCACAAACTCTTTATGCCTATACATAAAATTTAATTTAATTAATTGATTTGAATTTCAAATGTTAATTAAATACTAAAAATGCTTCCAGAAAATTATTCATATAAATATTAAAAGGAATAAATTGTATTAATTTTATAGATCTAAAATTTTGTACTCTTTATAAAGTTTAAAATAAGAATTACTTAGGCTTTATAGTTAAAAATTATATAAAATAAAAACATTTCTAATAATAGGACAAGCTAGATAAATGAGGAATATAAAAAAATTTAGACACAAAATAATAATACATATTTAATTAAGAATAATTATTATTTAATTAAAAAATTATAGATGGAGAAAACAAAATCTTTTTAATCTAAATACTAACATATATATAGAAATAAAGAAATAATATAAGTATTCTCAACTAAATAATTATAATAACTAATAATAAAGGATTTTATCCTAATTTTTTTTATTTTTCTAATTATGATTTAATAATAAATAATTATTATTAATATTAATATTATAATAATACAAAAATGCACACTTAAAACAACTTTATCTATAATTAATAAGGGTATATGTATCCTTAATAATACATGTACCCACATCCACCTCCAAATTATGTTTTCCCCCAATAAATTTAACCTGCTTAATTTTATTATATGAATCCATAGAATCCAGCTATGTATTAATATAATATGGGATAATAATAATAATAATAATAATAACAATAATAATAATAATAATAGTAGAGAATTAAATGTAATCAACCTAAAACAAAAGAATAAGATATCAAATAATAGAAGTAATAAGTAGTTAAATAACAAAATAATCCAATCATGTAATAATAGATGGAAATGCAAAAAATAAACATAAAAATATTAACAGAATAATAGATTAGAGATTAGGTAGGCTCTATTACAAAACAAGGGTTTTGCCATTATTGCAATAAAAATGGAAAAATGTGTTATTATTGTTTCAGTAATTATAAATCAACAGATTGCAGACATGGATTTTGTTTTGATTGTTTAATGTTTAAATTTAAAGTAAAAGTTGAATATAATTAATTAGATCAACCCAATAAAGATATTACTTAGACCTGATTGGAATTGTCCTATTAAAAGTAAATAATGTATGTGTAGTCGATGCTCAAATATTAATCATATGGATTCCGATTAATTTATTTCCAATGACTCAGTGGAAAGTTGCAATAAATATGCACATATAATAGAGAACACTAAGAAGATTAAGAAACAATATTAGAAAAAGAAGAATATAATTAGAGAAATGTTTTAAGTGAAGTTTTAACAATTAGATCCAAAAAAGAAGAAATAATAATAGGTATATCATAGGAATTAAGGTAGTCAATGAAGAAGACTTTATTACTTAATAAGATTAAGAAACAAATGTAATTCTCTTAGGAATGCATATTGAAATTGAAATAAAAGCATAGCCAAAACGATGAATAAATATTGCATCAGGTTGTCAGATATAATTTTGGTTCCTTGATCGATTTATTTAAGGAATATAAATAGGCTTGATAATTCATATAAGAATATATTTTAATGTTTTTATAGATATTTTTATACTCATTATTATTATTATTATTAGGGAAACTTGGGTTTCTTGAAAAACTATTCAAAAGCCTATTATATGATTTCATAAGATTGAATATAATTTCCCATGCATTTCTTGAATTCATCCTATGAAGCATTAACTGGAAGTATTTTAAAGCAAGTTTTATAAACTTCATTGCTTAGGACTTCTTATTTAAGTTATTATTAATCACTCATAATAATTAATTATTTTTAATATTCATTCATATATTGTTATATTAAATTTATTTTATATACAAATGAAGAAATACTAATTAAATACTAATAAAATTGTTCATACTTTTAATAAATAGATTTTAAAAACTTAATTTATTTTATATTTGAATTATAATTAACTAATTTAAAATAAGAGTAATAAATAATCTTATTAAAATAGAATAATTTAGCATATATTAATATTCTTACTAGATATAGTATAACTTCAGGATTTTATAAATACAATAAACTTTTTAGAAAATTAATTTTAATATATTAAGATTTTGTTTCTATCTCCAATTTAAATTTTAGAAATAATAGTAATTTTTGATTTGCAATCTTTAGGTTATTATAATAACATATAATTTACTAATTTTTAAATCATTTTTAAACTTCTAATAAAATTATTGGACAAATAGTTTTTGTATCCACTAGTTAATTAATTAATAACAGAAGAAAGTTAAGCAAAGTTTAGTTAATAGAATGTTTAATTATATTTGTTACATTTAAAATCTTGTATTCAAATAAGATTTAATTGAATTTTAATCAGAACAAGTAGCAATAATTGCAAATTAATACTTAAATAGTAGAATACATTTTCTACAATATAACGCGAACTTTGTTAAAAAAATATTGAATATCATTTTTTGTATGAGACTTCTTCATCATAAGAGCTGAATGCTTTAGATAGAAAAATTTTATTGTCAGGAATGAAAAATTGGCATAAAAATGACATATTTTGTTTATTAAATAATTATAAAATCCTCTAAAAGTTTAACTATGTATGATATTTAAAGTAGAATTAAGTATAAAGTTAGGAATATTTAATAATTAGATACCTATTTAGATTAAAATATAGGTTTAGAGACAACTTGTATGATCATCAAATTAGTAGTAAAATTGAAAAATTTAATATAAATTATGCATAATTGTTATTAGAATAAAATTATTATTCTTATATACATTTTACTCTTGTATTTCTATTTAATATATATACTTTAAATTATGTATTAGGTAGTGTTTCTCATTATTATTTTTATAGAATAATATAAAAAATGATCAAATAAAGAAGTATAAGTTATTTCTCAGTCAGGTCTTAAACTTCAAAAAAAGCATTAGAATTTGAATTAAATATATAAGAAAATCAATAAAGATTATTCCAAAATGAATGAGGTATTTATAAAACATAATTTAATAAATATATGAATATTACATAACTAGAACTCTTTAATCAAGCTTGTCATTAATATAAGGGTATGGTGATTTCTTCTGATTTCATACAGGCAGCCCTTCTTAGTCGATATTAAATAACTCCTGCTGAATTTTTAAGACCATTTCTACCTAGAAAATTGTAAAGATTGAAATTGGGTTTAAGAGAGAAAGAAAAAGAGCTTAACATAAAATTATTAGATTTGAAAGAATATGATTAGATTGGAAATGTAAAGTTGGACAAGTATTCGCGTCTTTTATTGGAGGATACTCAATTTGTGGATTAAGTTTAAATCTCAAGGAATTGTAGCAAACAAGTTTTAGATTAAATTTGTGATTAAAATAAAATGGCTGGGTTCTAGTAATTGTAATAAGTAGTTGGAGATTGTTTAGGATTCTAATATCATTATAATTTTTTAGATCATCCAATTGTATTATTTTATATAGTAAGTGGATAAGAGAAAAATTTGATATAAGAGATTCATAAAATTAGAAATGAGTCAAATGGTTTGATTAAGATGATTTTTAAGAATAATCTTAATGATTTGGATATGGTGAGTAAAGTGATCATAATATTGAATGATGCTTAAGAGATAGTATAATATGAATCTCTTGATTTAATATTTAAAGAATTTAGTAAATTTAGAGCATATACACTAAAATACAATTTACCTAATCCAATTGAATAAACTCATTGGTCTAGATTTTCATATTAGAGATACAATTATGATGGTGAAGTTCCTAAACATCCTTTAGGAATATTAGATGAATAATGGACTAAAATATATAGATAAGTTGTTGAGGAAATCATATTATAATAAGCAGTGATTATTTTGGAGAGACAAATAAATATATAAACATAACTTTATTAAGAAATGAAATAGAAAACATTTGATACATTTTTGACAAGTATTTTCAATACAAGAACAGGTTAATAAACAGAAACTGAGTATAAAATGAGTTAAAGAGAATAACTATTGAGATTTTTGGGTGACAATCATTTTTTAATGAATGATTATGAAAGTGCTGCCACTTATTATAAAGGACTTATAACAGAACTTAAAAATAATAAAACTAATACAACTATTGCTACTTTATATGCAACTGAGTATTATTTATATTCTAGATTATTGGCATAATAAAAAATAGATAATTTAAAGAATATTTTTGATGAAATTTAAGTTGGATATCATAAAATTGTTCATTTTCCATATATGTTAAGAGTAATGTTTTTTTATATTATTACAATTCATATGTTTGGAAAATATAGTAAAGAATAAATTTATTTTCTTTAAAGATTTCATCGTTATTTTAAGGATTTAGGTAGTACTACAAAAAAAGATTATTTTGTAGTATATTAAATATTAGTATATGAATAAATTGCATTCATTCATTTAAGATTAGATCCTCCAGAATTTAGAAAATTTGCTCATAATTTAACTTTGGTTGCTAATAAATATGAATCAGAGAATTTTAAGAAACATGCATTAAGATGTTTTAAAATAGTTGAATAATTATATTAATAATCAAAATGGGTTCCATTATTATTTTGGTTGGAAGGTCATATAGGGGCTAATTGTTTAGAGAATCAAAGAATTCAAGAAGCTATTGATTCATTTAAATTGGCATTCAATTAATTAAATGAAAGATAAACATTGGAATTGCATAATTAATTAGTTGTAGATTGGAAAAAAGCATATACATCAATTGAATAACTTTAAGATCATAGGAGAAAATATTTTACATAATCTAACACAAATCTTAAAATTCCAATTGTCAAAGGACCTGTAGATATGTTAACACATGGTTTAGATGTATTAGATTCAATTGTTCTTACTAATATTAAATAAAAATTTAAAAATTTATGGAATACAGTTTCAAAGAATGAATCCTTTTTTGAAGATGCATCAATAAGAAGTTTTGATTCCATCTATTTAGAAGAAAGAATTACATGTTTTAATAAATCCCCTTGTATTCTAAATGCTGATAAAATTACAGATCTAATTGATAAAATTAATAAATTTGGAAGATAATGTTTTGCTGAAGATACAATAACATTACGATTTTTTATTAATTTACCTCTCAAAGTGCCCAGTTATATAAATGGCTTATAAGTTATGTATCAATTTTACACACTTAAAGAGAATCTTTTAGATTTAGAAGCAAATAATGAAAAAGAATATATACTTACAAAAATAAATACATTAGAAATAAAAGATATACCTTTTTAGAGAGCAGTATAAGAATACATAGAAGTTTCTATTACCCCTCCATAAGCAGGATATTTAATAATAACAGGTTTGTAATGGAATTTTCTTAATATTCCTGCTTAAATATCAATTAATTATGATGCTAAAGATCAATCAAAAAAGAAGAGTGTAAATTTTTACAATAAGTTTAAAGTATTTCCTAAATTTATTCCAATTGATATTGAATATTATACTAAACCAGTAATTGCTTATGGTGAAATAAGACCTATTCTTTTTAAATTTACAAACAAAAATCCTGAAGAAATTGTAATTCATATAACACCTATTATACCTTATCATTTTGGATTTGAAGAGAAAAAGATAATTTTAAGTGCATTTTAAGTTTTGGAATATTAATTTTATTTAAGATGTAGTTTTTAGGAAGAGTTTGTTGGTTAATTATTATTTAAATATTAATAAGGTTAGAGTGGAGGAATTAGAGTTTAAAAATTGGAAATTCCAATGAAAGTAGACCCTAGTTTTAAGATATCATTATAAACAGATTTAATTGTAGATTATTGGAAATTTACATTATAAGTATAAGATTATTTTGGAGGGAAAGGCAATTTAAAATTTGATAGAATTCTATGTTTGAATGAAAATTGGAAATATTTTGATGTTCCTTATCAATCAAGTGGTGATCCATTTCTTTTAACTACTTTTAAGTTGAAGAAGATTTAAACAAAGGATTATAGATATGAAGAATATTAAAATAGACTAAAGGAAAGATTTTATAGAGAAGGTGATAATTTTAATGAGATAATATTGGGTGATCAAGGTATTCCTGCAGATGTTGCATTAGATTTTGTAAATTTGGATATATAACATTATTTCAATGTTTTTTATTAGAAATTGTCTAATTAAAAAATGGAAGAATTCCCATTATTTATTATAGCAAGATGGACATATAGATTAGAGGATGAAATAATATATGGATTACATGAATTGCCAGTTTTGCAATAAAATTATTTACATAGAGATGTGAAAGAATTCCCTATGTCTTTTTCTATCACTGCTCCATTTGAAGTATAGCATTAGAGTATGATTACAATGGTTCCAATAAAGATAAGTTTCAAAAATACTAAGTATGTAGATCCAATAAGTTTTACTGTGACATTATTTAATGGAGATGAACCTTTAAAGTACAATAAAATAATTAATAAGGTCAATAAATGATATTTAATAGCCATTCTTTTTGTGGGAAGGAATATTGTAACACCAAATAACTTTAAAGCCATAGGAGATGAAGGTACTGAATTTGGAAAGTGTTTTTACAGAAAAAGGAGTCTATGATTTAAGTAGATTTAGATTGACTATGCATAATAAATAGTAAAACGAGTATTACTCAATTGATCATGAAACAGTTATAATAAAAATTATATGAAATATATATTAAATATATAATATTAATATGTCAAAGAAAGGAAATAAGAAGAAGGGAGGAGATGATGGAGAGAGAGAAGAAGAAGAAAAGGTTATGGTATTGGAACATAAATGTAGAGCACTTTAGACTAGATTAGGTAGAATTATAAATTTAAATATTAGTGGAGGAATAAGAAAGAGGTGATAAAGCAAAATCAGCTGAGAATGAAATTAGAGCAAGAGTGATGGAAATGGAAAATGATTTAAAAAAAGAGAAAGATAAATTATTTTGCATTGTGTATTAAGATTATATATTAATAATATAGATCTGATATGACTAGATAATATAAATAAATGTAGGAAGAATTACTTAAATAAATTACAGATTTAAGATCAACTGATGTAGAAAAAGAAGAAATAATTAGTAAATTATTCATTTGATTAATTTTAGAAAATAAAGAATAATATATATAAGATATGGTTAAAGATTATGAATATAGATTAAAGAAAAAGGATGATGAAATTAGTGAATTGAAACGTAAAATTGAAGAGATGTCAGCTGAATTTGCTAGAATGCTTAAAGTATTATGTTGAAATTATCATTCTAAGGATACTCTTGATAAAATGTAAGAGAGAATATAATTGGCTTAATGGGATAATGATACTGATCCTCAAATCATGAAGAAAATTAAAGATATTGCTGGTATGTAAACTCATCAATAAAATTGATTTTATAATATATATAAATTTTATTGATATTTAAATCATTAATTAATACTAATCCTATGAATACCAATATTGATTGTATAATATCTTCATTTATCTAAAAGACCGTTCACTTCCTTAGGGTAACTTTCCTGCTAGAAATATAGATAGAAATGCTACATAATAATCACCTTAAAGAAATCCAAAAAGGTTTTAATATTTTTCTATTATCTATTAGAGAATTTGATTATAGATTAATTCAACCGAAAATTTAAAATCTAAATGCATCCTCTAATTCTTTATCAAGACTTCGATCAGATACCCCTATTACCATACGAGGATAAAATTATCGTTACGTAGGTTAAATGAATGGAAATTAGAAAGAAGGAGTTGGTTCATATTTTACAAATGAACTTGAATATGAGGGTGAATGGCGAAATAATGTATATCATGGATTTGGAAAATTTTATTAAGAAGGCAAGTTATCATATCAAGGGCAATTTAAAAATGGATTAAAAAATGGAGCTGGAATTGAATATTATGAGGATGACTCTTATTTTGTAGGTAATTTTGAAAAAAATCAAAAAAATGGAATTGGAACTCTCTATAAAAAAAATGAGAAAATATCTGGGATATGGCAAAATGATAAACTAATAGAGAAATATTGATTATTATAAATTATAAACTAATATAATGGATATTCAAAAATAATTATTAGTCTTTGTAAATCCAGCAAGTGGAAAAGGACATGCTTTAAAAGAATGGAATAAAGCCAAACCAATTCTTGATAAATTTAATGTAAAATATCAAGTTATAATGACATAATATCAAAATCATTGTCATGAATATTTATTGAAGGAAGATCTTTCAAACATTTATGGAGTTGTTCTTGTATCAGGAGATGGACTACCACATGAAGCTATCAATGCTTTATATGCAAGACCTGATTGGGAATAAATATCACAATCTATTACTATTGGTGTTCTTCCAGGTGGTAGTGGAAATGCATTTGCTAAAACATTGACTAAAATATCATAATTAGAATGTAATTCAGAAAGTTGTGCATTATTAATTGCAAAAGGAATAACAAGATAAATGGATCTTATTTTATTAGAAATGCAGTAAAAAAAAGTTGTTTCATTTTTATCTTTAGCTTATGCTTTTATTTCTGAAGTTGATTTAGGATCTGAATCACTTAGATTTTTAGGAGGAGCTAGATTTGATATATATGGAACATGGAGAGCATTATTTTAAAAAAAATATTAAGCAAAATACAATAATCAATAAATGATGTTTAGATATTTTTTAGCATAAAAGATACCTTACATAAGTGATAATTATCTATCAGCACCTGCAGCTAAAATTGATGATGGATATATTGATGTATAATATCTTGAAGTTGGAGATTGGTCACAATTAGTCAAGTTATCATTAAAATAATATGATGGCAGTCATGTTGAAATTGATGAATAGGGAAATGTAAAGCCAAAAGGAAATTGGAAATATGAAAAAGTCAAAGAATATACATTTGAGCCTATTACTAATTGTCCATTGAGTATAGATGGAGAAAGATATCCTCCATAACCAGTTAAAGCTAAAGTATTAAATAAAATTTTGAAAGTATTTTGTTATTGAAAAATTCTATTAATAATAAAACTCATAAATTCTTTTTATTTTTTCCAATAATTTATTAATATAAATTTTTTTACTTTTTAACTAATATATTAGTTGATTCAACCCTTATTTATATATCTGTACTATTTCTTGATAATGTGCTCATATTTTCCATATAAACTCTTATAAGTATACTTTATAATAGTGTTATTATTCTGTATTAATATATTTATAAGATAGAGTTTCCTATAATATAATTTATTTTTAAATTTATAATAGTTTTTCATACTCACTCATATTAATTAGTTATGAATTTAACAATTGATGGCAAACAAAAAGTGAACTAATTTTTACGATTGTTAAAAATCTTCTCGTATCCCCTTATCATATGCGATAGTGAAAGTAACATTCATCTATTATATAATAAGAAATGTAATTCTCAGAAATGCCAGAGAATCAATCCTTCAATGAGTTTAATAAAACTGATTCTCCTGCTTTTTTTGCTTAACTAGATAGTGATTTCTTTACACAATTCCAAACTTAAATTAGAGAAAATCATCTTTTATTCACTTAAGTTCATTATACAAACAATGAATTATAGTAAGAAGTCTCTATACTTAATTCATAATTAAAGTATATATGCTCCTATATACCAACTGATATTATATACAAATCAATAAAACCATTAATCAAATCATAAATCAAGCAACTCAAACTATCATTTGCTTATATGATAACAGATACTTATCAAGAAGACAAAAAAATTTAGTTACAATTTATGATTGCCACATATTCAGAAGATGGTTATTTTACTATAATGAAACCTATATCATAGTTAACTCCTAGAATATTTGATCTACCATTGTTATAAAATAAAGTGATCAGTTTTAATTATTTAAGTTGTAAAACTATACTTACACAGATGAAATCTCACTCAATTTCATTAAATTTTAGTTAAGATAATATTCAATTTAATCCAATATCATTTGACTCAGAATTAGTTGAAATTCCATCAAATATTTTAAGTCATTATGACTAAACATTTATAGATAATGTTTATGGTGATCTACAAATAGAATTAATATATTCAAGAACATATATTCCTATCTTTAATTTTAGTTAAAAATAAAAATTAGACTGTTAAATTTATATAAATCCTTCAAAACAATTTAATAATAAAAATGCTATTTTCTATTTTGTTTATAATTAATAATATATGATGATTTGTAGTAGACAATAAGTGATAGTTAATAATTAAAGTAAGCCTTAAGCCAAAATATTTCACAATGTAGATATGGTTAAAGAAATATAATTAATTAATAGTAGTATTAAATAGAACAAAATAGATTTTTAATATACAACTACTCATCAAAAAAATCATTCAACTTTTAACTATGACAATCCTCCACTAAAAATGGTTTGTTCTGATATTATGGACAGCAATACTAAAATATATCATTAACAAGAGCCTTTGTTATTTGTTCCTCCAAAAGTAACGGGATCTATAAGTTAAGCAATATAAGACTTTATGACTAGGTAATCTTGTTAATAACTTAATACAACTTCATAAAAATTTTCAAAAAGTTTTCAGAACTGAAGAATTATTTTTTAAATTATTATAAAAATAGTACAATATTACACAAATAAAAACTCAAAATTTCTCATATAAATGAGCATGAATTAGTTAATTCTTTAAGTGCAGTTTTAAATTTATTGTATTTCTCCAACATGTAATTTTCGAATTCAGTTCTAATAACTATTTTTTCAATTTTCATTTATCGATCTTTAACTTTTATCTCTTTAGGAGTATAATTAAATTCTTTCCAATTTTCTACTATGTGAACAGTTTTTTATTCGCTGAATTAAACTGATTTTTTTTATTGAGTGATACCATTTAATGAAGTGTTTGGCATTTTTAACTATTCTTTTTTCTTGTTAATATAAATTAATTAATATTCAGAATTCTTTGTTCCAAAAAATATTTAAACTATAAATTAATAAATAACACTAATAAATTCTAATTAAAAATGAATTATTTATAATATAATATAAAAATAATCAAAAAGTAGTGCAAATATTGAAACATTAAGAATGAGATTTCTGTTTTTATTTCTGATGGAAATTTTAACTACTCACATCTACATTATATTCCTTCCAGTTTTCAACTATTATAATATCATCTTCTTCTTTAAATGAAACTGACTACTTTTTCTTTAAATCATCCTCTAATTACTTAGCTACCACTTAATTTAAACTTATTTCAGGTCCAAATACATGACTTTTCAAAGTTTACCTATATTAATCAAAAAGATGACGATTATCTTCAGATAACATTTATATTTTAAATATTTATATAAATATCCAAAACTCAACAAATATAATCAGCTGAAATGTTCAATTTAAAGATGATTATGTTTCACTAATATTCTCATTTCATCATTTAAAACATACCATTTGATTAGTATCTATTATTCTATTGTTTCTAATTTTGAAATAAAGAAAAAGTTCCATATTGAAAAATATTTAAATATTACATACTTTTTATTTATATTAACCATCATTTCATCCCACATACAATCTTACAATGTTTTCCTAAAAAAATAGAATCAGGAATAATATTTAAATAGTTCTATCATAATATTTTTCTCAATATGGAGATTGCATAAATAATTAAATGAATGATAAACCCTTATTCAGTTTAAT